TTAACAAATTTCAATCGGTTGATATCTATGCAAATAAGGGTGAAGATAATGTCCTTAGGGACTGAATAAGTGCTATTCTGTAATTCATCTCTTCAAATAATTTTAATATAAAGAAGAGAAATAAGTACTTAAATGATCAGAAAGACAAACAGTGAGTAAAGCATGATACTTGTAAGCTGAAGCCTTGATGTCTACTCCTTAGAGCACAGGCCTGGATTGATTAGATGATTCTGTGGAATACACCCAATCAAATAGGCTTTTGCAGATTTACCCTCTCTGCAGCTGAGGCCAAGCTGCAGCCAGTCTTCTGGTAGTGATTTGCAGTGGACTGACCTCAGGACATTCTAGGGACCAAAAAGCCAATAGCTATGTGTATTTTTTTCCCCAGTACACTAAACCTTAGTGTCTCTAAGGGAATTACAAATAACCTATAATCTTGTTGTTGGTTACAAGAATGATGTGTCCAAATTATAATACTTCCTGCCAGAAATTTTCTAACTTGCTTTTGCTATAGGGTTTTTCACCTCTGTCATTTCTCCTACTCACGGGCACATCTTATTTTTTTTAATTCATTATGCTATGTTCTCATTTCCACTATCTTGCATAAAGGTCTAGCATATAAAGAGGAAGGGGAAAAAAAACAATTCCAGCTTTAAAAGAGAGTTAAGCTGTCTTTGAAATCTCCCCTTTATTCCAAAACCACAGATAAGGAACTTCCTGCATACTCATTGTCCATTTGAAGAACTACCCTCAAAATTGTGGTACCGTATCCGATTTCTGAAAGACATGTTTCCGATTTCCCTGTTGTAAGATATAAAAACAGCAACATGTTACAAACTAAACATGTTCTAATACTGAACATGAGTGTGTTTTCTGTTCTGTATCTTATTGCACTTTTTTGTCATGTGGATTCCTTATAGTTACATTCGAACAGCTATGTATTCTTACACCACACATATTGTCTCGGAAAATGAACAAAAGCAGAGAAAAAACATTGAACAAAGTATCCAAAAGGTGCTGAGAGTGGAAAGGATTCCAATGCTAGATTTTTTATTTATTTATTGGGGGGACAGGAATTGGCAGTTCCTGAAAACTGGAACATGGTGAAACCATTGCTGAACTCAATTTTTACACTGTGTTAAGTACAACTTAAAAAAAAAAAAAAAAAAAAAAAGCTTGGTCATATAAATGGGAAACTCTTCAAATTCTCACAGTTGTTTGCAGATGATGGTGCATCAGAGCTTCTTGAGTATTTTTGTGATGTTAACCGAGCATCCATTTCTGTTTGCATTTTTCGTGTTGTCTTAAGCTCTCTCTGCTGTGTTTATTACACATAGAAAGACACATAGGGTGGTGTGCTGTACTGATAATGCTACATTCCATAAAGGCTAGGGACAGACATTACACAGAAACTGGTTTAAGTGATCAGAAACTGGTTGAAACCTGTAACAGAACAGACATTCAGTGCACATAAACCAATTTCAAAATGGCTGAAACTGGTTTGAGATAAACTTGGTTGAATGTAGTTATCAGACTTATCCGATTTGGCTCAAACTGGTTTATGCATTGTCTGTCCCAGACCCCTTTCTGGTTTAAGTTAAGCCAGACTCCCCCAGCATCCCAGTATGCTCTCTGGGCTGGGCTCTCTGCTCCAGTCCAGCCAGGCTGGCCCCGCCCCTCTGCTCCCCAACCAGAGCAGGGACAGGGAAGGGAGGGGCTCTGGCCAGGGAGGGGTTTAATTTCCCCCTCACTGTCCCACTGGCAGGGATCTGAGCTGGGTCTGCTGGGCACTCCCCCCTCACTGCTGCAGCAGCAGCAGGGCATCATGGCACCTAAGGCAGAGGAGGGCAGGGAGGGAGGGTTATTGTCCCCTCTACCCGCATGGGCAGCCAGGTCTGCCCACCCTCGCCATCGTGCTTGCTCCCTGCGAAGGAATAGGACCCCTGCTGTTCCCTCCAATGCCAGAGGGAGAGGGAATAACCCCATCCCTGCCTCCCCCATGAAGGGGCCCTGCCAGCCAGCATCTGGCCATGCCGCCACCCTGCTGCTGCTGGGGGCAGCAGCCCATCATAATGTCAGGGAGCATGAGCCCCTTCCTGGCGAGGGGCCCCATTGCAGGGCGGGCAGAGCTGCGAGGACTGTGCGCAGCAGTCCAGCCCAGACTGGCTACACCCCCTCCCCTACCCCCAGGAGCAAGGGGGGAATTAAACCCCTCCCTGGCCAGTTCAGCCCAGATTGGCCATGCACCCTCCCCCTCCCAAGCTTCCCTGCAGCCAAGGGTGCGCTCTAGCACCCCCGGCTCCTGGCCTGAGCAACTGCAGGCATGTCTGTTCTGTATATCTATTTTGTTACAAACTGGTTTAAGCTAGGCAAAGGTTGAATCAATTCATGCTCCAGCTTTTTGAATGTCTGTCCCTAGCCAAAAAGGCTAAACTTTCAGGACCCAGCCCAGCAGCAGATCATAAGGCCATTGTATGGGAGAAAACGTGGAATGTTGCATACTACAAGTTTGTTTACCAAGAGTTTGGCTAGGAACATAAATTTGGATCATCTCCAGGTTATCCCTTACAAATGTGTTAGCTTCCAGTTAACTGGCAATCCGTCAACTCCAGGTAAGGCAAACCAAAACAGTAAGCCACGTTCCACACTTCTAAATGTTCTTTCAATACCTCTCTTGATGATGCCAACTACTGTATTACAATATCCTCTTAACAGTCAGGAATTGATGGAAGTCACTCATCGTGGTGTCCTGTGACCAGTGGGGTCCCCCAAGGCTCTGTCCTTGGACCCATACTGTTCAACATCTTCATTAATGATGTGGACACTGGAGTCAGGCTTCAGCTAGTAAAGCGACCAAAACGCTGGCTTGCATCCATAGATGCTTCTCAAGCAAATCCCGGGACGTCATTCTCCCCTTGCACTCGGCCTTAGTGAGGCCGCAGCTGGAGTACTGCATCCAGTTTTGGGCTCCACAATTCAAAAAGGATGTGGAGAAGCTTGAGAGAGTCCAGAGAAGAGCCACGCGCATGATCAGAGGTCAGGGAAGCAGACCCTACGATGACAGGCTGAGAGCCCTGGGGCTCTTTAGCCTGGAAAAGCGCAGGCTCAGGGGTGATCTGATGGCCACCTATAAGTTTATCAGGGGTGACCACCAGTATCTGGGGGAACGTTTGTTCACCAGAGCGCTCCAAGGGATGACAACTAGGTCGAATGGTCATAAACTACTACAAGACTGTTTCAGGCTGGACATAAGGAAGAATTTCTTTACTGTCGGAGCCCCCAAGGTCTGGAACAGCCTGCCACCGGAGGTGGTTCAAGCGCCTACATTGAACACTTTCAAGAGCAAACTGGATGCTCATCTTGCTGGGATCCTATGACCCCAGCTGACTTCCTGCCCTTTGGGCAGGGGGCTGGACTCGATGATCTTCTGAGGTCCCTTCCAGCCCTAATGTCCATGAAATTAATGTAAGGAATCCATTAAATGATTAACTTGACAAATTTGGCTTTAAATTTTGATTTGTAATACCATTTTAATAAGGACATAGTGTATTCTAATTAAATGTCTCTGGATTAGAGCCTAAACATGTGAAAAATTACTCTTCTTTACACTTACTGATCCTAACTTGACCCTGCTTTATTTTGCTGTAGCAGTAATGAAATGTCCCTCTGACCTGCTGTTGCACTATTTAAATTCATTATAAAAAGTTGGGACCAAGTGTTAATCAGTGTGCTCTCTCCTTCCTTTTCCACTCCATCCTCTCTCATCCCATTCTATATTTTCACCCCTTTTTTCTAACCACTGATGTCTCTTGTTATATCCATCCACTAACATAACAATATGGTGCCACCCACACATAGGCTTGCTTCTTCCAACATGTTTTTAGTAGCTTGTGTTGCTCCCCTTGTATCTCCATCCTGACAAAACAATAATCACATCTTATCCTCCACTGTGTGTTCTTCAAGCAGCAGCACCAATGAGACACACTGGTTCTGGGCTAGTCAGCTTACCTCAGGCTTGAATCTGCCCTCTAAACTTTCCTTTTCTAGTTCTCCTTTATGAGAAGCAACTACAAGGCAAAAGCAGATGAACTAGAATGGCTGGTAATAGAAGGTCTTAATGAAATGGATATCACTAAAGCATGTTAGAAAGATGAACATCATTGCAGCCATTTCCAGATGTGCTCAGCATTTTCTAAACCAAATTAACTGATTTACATCACACAGTTTGAATCAAATTTCAATTTCAGTTAAGGGTTAATAGATGATCATTGACCATCATGGCAGGGGGCACTGACTATATACACAGTCTGTACATTTGACCACCCCTTAGCAGAGGTTGGAAGTAACTAGGCAATAAGCCTGTGTAAGCACTGCTACATTGTTGCAGTTGCAGTTATCTAAAGTGCTATTCCAAAAGCTGTAACTGATGGGAGACTTAGCAGGGTGAGTGTTGTTGGAACATTTGACTTTGTAAAGGTGTTTCTTTGTGCCTGATAGCCTCTATCATTTTGCAAAAACCCAATTGAGTTTCCCTTGTGGATTGTTAGTTGCAATGGTTATCTGTTTATCTAAGTTCCTAAGGACTATTTTTCCTAAAAGCAACACACAGTATATATATTTTATATACATTATAAAATGCAAAAGCAACACAGTATATACATTTTAATAAATTATTTTAACTGCCTGATTCAGACTGCCCTAGTCTGTATTAGCTTTAATCCTCATTCAAGGAGGAATTAGTTAATTCAGACTGGACCCAGTTTTAATTTGGACTACAGACATCCACATGTATATAGTTACAACTGTAGTTCATATTAAACCTAGAAAAATGTAACATCTATAAATAGCCTGCAAGTCTACAAAACCTGGCATTTAAACTATGCTGAAAGGTCTACTTAGTTTATAGAGCTGGGGAGTCTTACAGTTCTGAGCCTTAAATTTTCAAATAATGTAGAAATGTTGATATATTCTAAACACTTATTTTTTTCTGTCCTTCTTAGGGCTTGCTTGTTGCAACTATATTCTGCTTCTTCAATGGAGAGGTAAGCATATGAAATACATCAACTGTAGTGAAGTAAAATTCAGCATCTTGCAAGGTAGCTAGTGTTCACAATAATTTAGATTGTGTTTGGCTACAACCTTCAGCACAACGTAAATAAGAGATCAGTATTTTGCGTGCGTGTGTGTGCGTGCACACACACACACACACACACACACACACACACACACACACACACACCACAACATCAGTCTTTAAGTTTCCAAAGCATTACACATAACAGTTTATCCTTACCTCTGAAGTAGCAAATTTGGGAGTATTATCCTCTAACTTCCTCTATTATTCTCTAACTTCTTCATTTCAGATAAGGCAAGACTAAAGCAGAAAACATAGGTAGCACTTTACTTCACCCCCCCTTCACAGTGCCAAACTCTGGCCTCCCCCTCCTCTTAAAAAAGCAGGATGGATTAGTAGGTTAGAAACAAACACTTTGTGGCACTATATGTTCAAAGAAGCTTTAGTGAGTGTAATTCCAGTGACTCATTTGGGATTGGCACTTCTTAAGATTAATGTTTTGTAAGTAGCAATTGAGAAAAAAAAACCCTTGAGCAAAAGCTCTTTTCCATTCTTTAACAGCTCAATATTTTGCCTACTCCACTTCAATAACGACATTTTAAATAAAAACAGCATGGTAAGACATGTCACGAGCTGCTTACATATCCACAATGAGCATATTTAAACACAGTTCAGCAGAAAAAATGATTTTGCAATATACCAGAAGCATTCAACTATGAGGCACTAGTGAAATAATCCAAGAATTTTCTTAGAAAACTAGGGTGCTCTTGAAAATGCCAGATTTCAGCACAGTATGAAGGGAATTATAGACAACTTCCTGCAACAAAATCTAGGTTGGTGATACTAACTCTCAACATAGAGGTAGTAAGGTGGTAAGTCATGTTAGTCAAAGCAGAGATGTAACAAGCAGAGTTGACAACATGGGGAAACCCTGCAGAAGAGTGGTTCTGCAAGTACGAGCTGATGTGAGGCAGGGGGGAGAACACCGCTGCATGTTCTTCTTGCCCAAGCTCACTCTTAAAGCAGTAGCAGCAGCGGCCATACACTGTTTTGGAGTTCCCAACATGGGTAAGCTGCAGAGGTGCAAGATGATTCTGTCATCCCTCTTAACTTGGCATCAAGGTTAGGTGCCGCTCTCACCCACCCCTATTTATATTATTGGTTTGAAGTCGGGCAGAAGGTAGAGTAGAGCAGCATCTTAGAGACTACTGGAGTCAGAAAATATGAGCTTTAAAAAACAACAACCTTCTTTGTAAGATGCTATGAAAGAACTGGCAGAAAGAAAAGTTTTTATACAAAATGGAAAGGCACACTGCTAAGAAAGGAAGTGGGTTGATTAGATCATTTGAGGTGAATGAGGTTGTTAGCACTTGAAAGGACACTGCAGGTTACTGCTGGTCCAGATAATGGGATAAGAAACCATGATCCCTGTTGAGACCCTTGTTAACACAATCCAGTCTATGGGTGGTTTCTTGTTCTTCAGTTTTATATTCAAGTTGGTTTTGAAGTTGGGATTTTTGAGGGGGTTTTTTTGGTTTAAAGACAGCTACAATTAAATCAGTTATGAAATATCCAGGAAGGTTAACTTATTTTACTGTAGGTTTTTTGTGCATTTCTGGACACAAAATGGAATTGTATAGAACTCCTACACACTTACAGTAATTGCATGTGAAAGTAAAGACACAAAGTTTTCATTTAAAAGCATTTCTTTAACTATAATTTTAAAAAGGGAAATTACACAAAAATGAGGATGTTGGAAAGAAGTTAAAAGGAGCAGTCAAAAATATAAACCAGCTGCAGGTAGCATGAAAGTTGTTTAAAAATACTATGTTAGAGGCTCAGGAAAAGTGTATACTACAAATCCAAAGGATATCAATTGGTCCAGTAAAACCCCTGCCTAAATTAACAGTGGAGTTAAGGAGGCCATTTAAGGCAAAAAGGCATCCTTCAAGAAGTGGGAGTGCTCAAATGTAAAAAACAGGAAAGCTCACAAAATCTGGCAGGTCACGTATAAAAGCAAAATGAGGCAGGCCAAAAAAAGAATTTGAGGAATATCTAGTAAAAGCTGTTAATCATAAAAACTTTTAAAACTACATCAGAAGCAGGAAGCAGTGGGAGAATTGATGGGACCATTAGATAACCAGGTTGTAAAAGGTGCACTCAGAGACGAGAAAGCCATAGCAGAGAAAATGAACAAAATCTTTGCATCAGTTTTTATGCAGAACATACTGAGAAAATTCCCATACCAAATAAATCCTTCCTAGTAAGTGGGTCTGAAGTGTTGGACCACACTGAAGTGGCAACAGAAGAAGACTTAGAACCAGTTGATCAATTAAATGCTAATAAGTCACCAGGACTGAATGGCATTCATCCAAGAGTTCTGAAGGAATTCAAAGGTGAACTTGCAGAACTTCTGGCAATAGTATGTATTGGTTAAAAGATAGGAAGAAAAGGGTAAGGCTAAATACAGGTTTCCTTCAATTTATGCGGGTTCTTTATATGTGAATTCGCTCTTATGCAATGAGCATATTTAAACCCATAATTCGTTATATGTGAGGTAAATTCACTCTTATGTGATCAGCATAGACACCCCTTCCCTGCCCCCCAAGCAGGTAAGTCTGTGGAGGGAGGGGAAAGGGCCGTGGCCCCACTCACCCCAACCCGGCTGTAGTGACCCCAGGAGCTGCCGTTGCCAGCTGCTACTGGGCTGCACCGTGCCCTGAGCCCCCCAGGGCTCTGTCTGTCTCCATTCGCTCCTGCTACAGCTGCCCCGGGACTGGCCGATGCCAGCTGTTTGTAGCCGCTGGGCTGCACCATGCCCTGGTGCAGGCAGTTGATGTGGGCTGCTCCTGGGGCCACTCCAGCACGGGCTGGGGTGAGTGCGGACAAGTGGAGCCCCAGGCGCTGTGGGATACGGCACTCACCCCAGCCCCAGCTGCAGTAGAAAGATCTCACCAGGCTACATTAGTGGGCAAAAAAAAAAAAAAATGGCAGATGAACTTCAGTGTTGAGAAGTGCAAGGTAATGCACCTGAGGAAAAATAACCTCAACTAGACATGCACAATGCTGGGTTCTGAACTAGCTTTTATGATTCAGAAAAGAGACCTTGGAGTCACTGTATATAGTTCTCTAAAAATGTTAGCTCAATGTGCAGTGGTGACAAAAAAGCCAGTAATATTGTGTCAACCCTGCAGGCCCAGAAACTGGCACACAAAACAATGGTGAGTTCCAACCTTTATGATTTTCTGTAAAAGTGGGTCACAAGCCAGTGGGCCAAAGGGAGGGAACAGGTAAAAGGTAAGGAAACACCAACACTGTGGTAACACACTCAGCACCTTAAGTTCCCTCCCACATCTCTGCAAGTGTCCCCAAACAAGCCTCTAGAGTGCTCAAACAGCAGTCTGCAGCTGCCCCCAAGTCTGAGTCCAGCTCCTTCAGTCCACAATCGCGGCTGACTGAGCCAGTGAGATCTTCAGCTCCACTGTGCACTCCCTGTGTAGGACTGACCTGAATTCCCCTGCATGGAGCTCTCTTTTCCCCTTGCTCTAGCCTAGGGCTTTCTCTTCCTTTTTCCTTTGCCCCCAAGTCCCTGAGGGTTTCTAGGAGTTCCAGTCCAAATTAACAATAAGTACAGCTTTGCAGACTGCCCCTGGTTCCTTCTCAGTTTGTGGAGGAACTAGGAGCAGTCTGTAAAGCTGGGGTCTATTCAATTTGTGATTCCACAGATTTCATGGAAACCACAAAATTGGGGATTGTCCATGAAATCAACTTAAAAAAAAAAAAAGCTTAATAAAAATAAAATGCTGGCTCCCAAATGGGAGCCAGTGGTCCTTGCTGCCATTGTGGCCCCGCCTCAGAGCCCAGCCAGGGTATGAAGGTGCTGGCTGGCAGGGCAGCACAAAGGGCAGCAGACAAGATGGTGGCCACCCCCTAGTACCTCTTCCCCTACCAATCAGCACTGAGGGTCAGGGCCACATGAAGGGCAGTCAGCAAACAAGATGGTGGATACCCCCTCGTCCCTCCTCCCCCACCAGGGCCTCTCTGCCAATCAGCACTGAAGGGTGGGACTGGAAGAGCATATCCAGAAACATCCACAGAATTTGCTCTTTATGTCGCAACCAATCCACAAAAATTGTTTACTCTCACCATGATTTAAGTAGGTCCCCACTCCTGCTGTTACACACATAACATTCACATTACAATATGCTGCACATCATTAAAAAAGGAACTGAAAACAAAGCAGAACATCAACATGCCACAATACAAATCCATGGCGTGCCCAGATCTTAAATGTTGTTTAGCGTTCTGGTCTCTGCATCAGAAGAGAGACGTAGCATTGTTGGAAAAGGTAAAGAGAAGGAAACCAAAATGATCAGGGGGGTGGAGCACTTGCCATACCAAGAGACACTATAAAGGTTAAGCCTCTATTTGGAAAGGAGAAGTCTGAGAATGGGATATTTGAGGTCTACAAAATCACGAAGGGTAGAGACAAAGGAACTGTTATTCATCGAGTCCCAGAATACTAGAAGTAGAGGACAGCCCTTGAAATGAGTAGGAGATAGATGTAAAACTAACAAGAGAAAGTATTTTTTTTTACATAACGCAGATGACTTGTGAAATTCTTTGCCACAGGACGTGGTTGAGGCAGATGGCATAGACAGGTTCAAAAAGGGACTAGACAAATTTGTGGATGATAAATTTACCAATTGCTGTCGAACACAACAGTTGGAGATGTGTCCTGTAGCACCTCTAAACCAATAATGCTGGATGCCAGTGAAGTTAATGAATAAGGATCACTCTAGATAAGTGGTTTTCAACATTTTGGACCACAAAAAAAAATTCAAGTGGTGGTGTAGACCCCTTTGAATTGTAAGTGTGGGTATTCACATACTTTTGATTGATCATAGTCATCTTTCACAGACTCCTTGGACATAGTCTGCACCCCACCCTGCAGACCATAGGTTGAAA